GGTTTGGAGTCTCTAAACAGTTAAATATTACTATACTGTAGGTATCATCATATATGGCGCACATGAAGAGGAAGTCATACAGAGGTTGAAGGGTGAGGGAGAGATGGTGTCTTGACATCATGATCTATAATAATTGACACAGTAAGAAGGTTACTGGTTCAAATCCTTCTGGGATCTTTTTATTTTTTTCCTGGAGTTTGCATGCGTTTCCCACTTCCCAGCTTCCTCCAACAGTCCAGAGACACACTTGACATAATAGAAAATACACATTGTTTGTCTTTAGAGTTTGAATTGTGAATATATTAACTTTAAATTTTACCTTTAAAATGTTTATTACTCTTCAGCAAAACAAGAAGAACCAGAGAAGCCAGAGCTCAGGATTTTGCTTCTTGGAAAAACTGGAGTTGGAAAGAGTGCTTCAGGAAACACCATCCTAGGAAAGGAAAATGCTTTTGAATTGACATCATCAGAGTGTCAGAAGGAAAGAGGAGAGTTTGGAGATCAAAAACTGGCTGTAGTTGATACTCCAGGTCTGTTTGACACCCGTAAGCCTGAAGAGGAGTTAACAGCAGAGATGGAGAGAGCCATCTGCTTTGCTGCTCCTGGTCCTAATGTGTTCCTGGTTGTGATTCAGGCCAACAGATTCACAGAAGAAGATCAAGAAACAGTGAAAATCGTTCAGAAGATGTTTGGAAAAAGGTCAGCATGTTCCACATTAGTTTTGTTCACCCATGGAGATGACCTAAAGTCAGATGGAAACACCATAGAAGAATTAATCAGTAAAAATCCAGCTCTCAGTGACTTCATCGATCAGTGTGGTGGAGGATATCATTTCTTTAACAACAAAGACAAGGATCCCTCTCAGGTCAGAGAGCTGCTGGAGAAGATCAACACCATGGTTCAGAGAAATGCAGGAAGATACTTCACAGTTGAAATGTTCAGAGAGGCTGACCTCAGGATTGTTCTTATTGGGAAAACTGGAGTTGGGAAGAGTGCATCAGGAAATACCATCTTAGGAGAAAAAGCTTTTAAATCCTCATCATCTTTTTCCACAGTAACATCAGAGTGTCAGAAGGAAACAGGTCTGTTTGAAGGTCAAAAACTGGCTGTAATTGATACTCCAGGTTTATTTGACACCAAAAAAACTGAAGAGCAGGTGAAGAGAGAGATCAGTCGCTGCATCTCCTTTGCTGCTCCTGGTCCTCATGTGTTCCTGGTTGTGATTCAGACCAACAGATTCACAGAAGAAGGACAAGAAACTGTCAAAATCATCAAGAACACGTTTGGAGAACAGTCAGCTTGTTACACTATGGCCTTGTTCACCTGTGGGGACAATCTTAAGGCAGACGGAGACAACATAGAAAACATGATCAATAATAATCCAATTATCACTGACTTCATCAGTCAGTGCGGTGGAGGATATCATGTATTTAACAACAGAGACAAGGATCCCTCTCAGGTCAGAGAGCTGCTGGAGAAGATCAACACAATGATTGCGAGAAATGGAGGAGGATGCTACACCAATGAAATGTTCAGAGAAGCTCAGAGAGCCATGAACAAACCAGAAGCCGACCTCAGGATTGTTCTTGTTGGGAAAACCAGAGTTGGGAAGAGTGCAGCAGGAAACAGCATCTTACAGGGAAAAGTATTTAGATCAACAACTTCCTTTCTAACACCACAGTGTCAAAAGGAAACAGGTCTGTTTGAAGGTCAAAAACTGGATGTAGTTGATACTCCAGGTTTATTTGACACCAATAAAACTGAAGAGGAGGTGAAGGAAGAGATCAGTAGATCCATCCCCTTTACTGCTCCTGGTCCTCATGTGTTCCTGGTTGTGATTCAAGCCAACAGATTCACAGAAGAAGATCAAGAAAC